CCACCTCCGCATCCCAGCTGCGCTTGGAGAGCTATGGAGCTTCCAACAAGCATGTGGGCCCACAGTGTCCCTGAAGCCCAGCTTATCTGGAACTGCGGAGTTCTCAACAGGCAGAGGAAGGCCATTGGTTCTGTAGGCCCAGTGGCTTGGGATAACAGGGTGCTAAACTCTGTCACCAGGGAAGACACAGTCACCTAATACTGTGCAAGAGACAGGGTGCTTTGATGCAAGCATGAGCCCTGACATAAACCTCCCTGCAGGGAAATCAAGGAACAGCAGGGGGCATGCAGAACATATTGATGTAAGGAAACACCTTTCCAGCAATTAAGGAGAAAAAGTTGACAGGTTTTTTCCCTTCGTTTGATTTGCATGCCCTTCAGTGGTCTCAGGCACAGAGCTTCCAAAAATCTCCTATATCCCTGGTGAGGCAGTGTCATGCTTACATGGAATGAGGTTTCTTTCTTTTTTCTTTTCCAACTTCTATATCACAGTCTGTTGCACAGTAATTTTTTTAAAGACTATTGATTACAACTCACTTGACCGCAGAGTCTCCTTAGTTTTTTTAAGGTGTTTATTTTGTTGTCCAATTATTTTCTTAAGACAGTTTAATGCGGGGCTGGGAATGTAGCTCAGCGGCATAAGTGCCTGCCTCGAAAGCAGGCAGTCTCGAGTTCGACCCCTGGTGCTGGTAAAAACGAAAAAGCCAAAAAAAAAAAAAAAAAGAAGAAAGTTTAATGCTTGATAAAATAAAACGAACTGTTTTTACCATAAGTACCTTCTAACTAGTACAATAATATATTGTTACTATGTACAATTTCAAAACAAAAGCTTCCACTTCCAAGGAAAGTGTTGTTCAACGTCCTCACTATCCTTGATGGAAGCTATAAGAAATTTCCTTGATGGCCAATGTTTTCCTTGACTTGGAAATTAATCTTACAATAAAAAAACATAAATCAAACTTTCAGTGAGCTGAGAACCATGAAAATGCTGTCAGAAGCTAAGTCATCTGGACCTTGGGAGTCTGCAGTAGATACAAGAGTTCATCAAGCAGCATAATACCTTGTGACTGTTTGCCCTTTAGTCTGCTGGGACACGTCCTGTAGGTTCCCAGTTGGTCTATTAATAATAAAAAAGCTGTGCCCTGTTGTGTCAGAACCTGGTAAATGACTCGTAAGCCATTCTTTATCAGCTCATGGATTCCATCACCATCAGTGATTAAAGCTGTATGGAATTCCTTACCGGCCATATCACTTTCCAGTTCTTCTCCAGTATAGGAAATAAGAGGAGAGGTTTCACATTGGATCTGTGCATCACTGGCATCATTCAAGTGGGCAATCGCTGGAAGGGGAGAACCATGGCCACCTGTGGGCACTGCATAGCCAGCAGTGGTGTAGGGCAACAAAGCACTTGGGTTGTCCTTCCCACTGTGACTGTCTGCATCCTTTAGTGGGGAAAATCCATCCTCCGATAAACCTTCATACACCGCAAGCTTCTCTGCAATCTGGAAGATGTCAGAAGCTACTTTTGGCAATTTATACCACATGACTTGTCTGGCATAATTAACTCACCCCAGGAATCCACATATGGAATCTTCCTGTGAGCCAGATGGCGCTAAAGCTGAGGTTCATCAACACCAACAGCATCTCTCAGACATGGGACAATGAAGATGTGATTGGTGATGCGGCCCACACAGAACAGCACTTGTCCATCCGAGCTCCGTACCTGAGATGTTGCCAGGGAAATTTTGCTCTATTCTACCACCCATTATCCGCCATTCATGGAACAAACCACTCCACCTGGCTCTGCAGTGTTCTCTCCTCCTTTGCTCCACAGTCTGCCCTTCTCAAAGTGGAATTCAATAACCATTGGCTTCACTTTAACCAATGCATCATCCACATAGCAGATGCAAGTGCACCAGGTGCCTTTTTGTTCCACATCCTCCACCATATTCTGGGCTGCAAAAGCCCGAAAAAAAACCCTCATTTCCATCTGGGGCCATAGAAATTTTGTGCTTCTCTTCCAAAGTAATTTTCCCATTAAAACTCATAGCAGGCAGCATGCAATGATCAAAATAGATAACATTTTCTTTTTTCAACCAAAGTGCTTGTGTTTTATGAAGAACTCCTCGTCTCTTCTATTGTTCTGGCACTGGCCCCTATATACCATGGACTGATCCATTTCAGGCCATGATAGCTTTAGCTAACAGCTGTAGCTTCAGGACATGCTCTGCTGGAATCTGAAAATGTCTTATGGGATAGTGAACCCACATCACACTTCCTTCTGGGATATGCCATTCCAACTGTTGCCCTCTGTCCATCTCCTAGCAGGGGAACTGCTCCTTTGTTCTGAGAAATCTGGAAAAGTCACTGTCTCAGACCTGACACTGATCTTGGTCCCTAGTAGCACCGCCACCATCTCTCCAGGGGCAGTTTTCATTGGTGCATCTGCTTTCTCATGCTAAGAGAACTAGTTAAATCCTTCAGTTGGTGTTTGATACGTCTGTGCATACCTGCTTCACCTGAACTGAATGAAGGCTGCCACCCAGGCAACCTACAGCCTTCCTCAATGCTGCTCGACCTGGATGTGCACAGGGGGATGCATCCCTGAAGCACAGATTAAGTCTACAGGTAGAGAAATAGGGGCACATTTTAACTACAGGAAAGAGGCTCTGTGAATCTCCCTGCACATGCCCAACTCTATTCTGCAGATCACAAGGGAGGACCTGGTTCCCCTGGACTTCTCACACCATGTATCAACACTTGGTCACACTGAATCACTCACTTGTGTTTCTGTAAAGAATTCAACCTTTGTATAATGGAGCAAACACTGACACCTGTATAATGTATTTAAATATGTAAAAATGAACTAAGGCTATGAATTAGAATTGAGTGTCATAACAGTTACATGAAATTGTTGTTTTACATAATGATATTATTTTCACCAAACTTGACCTGCAGACTTACATGTAATCTGCTACTGAAGTTTTTCTACTTCCTGGCCTCAGAGCTCTATCTATAGCAGGAAGCCATGCAAATAGGGCCTCCCCGTCCCAATGTAAACCAGCCCAGCCCTCACTCTGCAGCTCTGCAGAGGAGCCCAGCCCTGGACTCCTAGGTGTTTCCTTTCGGGGATCGGGACTGAGCACAGACAGCCCACAATGGAGCTTGCGCTGAGATGCGTTTTCCTTGTTGCTGTTTTAAAAGGTAATCAGTGAAGAACAAGAGATATTTAGTGGGAGAGAGTGGGATAAATGGTAGACATATGTGACAGTTTCCTGAGCAAGATGTCTCTGTGTTTGCAGGTGTCCAGGCTGAGGTGCAGCTGGTAGAGTCTGGGGGAGGCTTGGTGCAATCTGAGGGGTCCCTGAGACTCTCCTGCGTGACCTCGGGATTCACCTTTAGCAATTACTACATGTACTGGATCCGCCAGGCTCCAGGAAAGGGCCTAGAGTGGGTTGGTTTAATCAGAAACGCGGCTAAGAGTCACACTACGGAGTACGCTGCATCCGTGAAAGGCAGATTCACCATCTCCAGGGATGACTCCAAAAGCACACTGTATCTTCAAATGACCAAACTGAAACCCGAGGACACCGCTGTGTACTACTGTGCAAGAGACACAGTGAGAGGACATCAATGTGAGCCCTGACACAAACCTCCCTGCTGTGGTGCTCTGGACCAGCAGGGGGCGCACAGGACACACGGAGTTCAGCCCTGTGCAGGACAGGAGCACAGGATAGAGCAGAATTATTTCCTGAGGAGACATGAGGCACGTGACGTATTTCCCGGGAGAGTCTGCATTCATGAGTTTGTGCTTATCTTTCATGCTCCTGAAGTAAAAATTTAACTCAATAGTAAGACATATTCTCATCTGTACACAGGTTCAAGTGTAATTGTTGAAAGTAAAAATGAGTCTTCTGTGATCACAGGACTGGAACTTGAGGACGCACAGGCAGTAATTCAAACCTTTTTTCATTGAAAAGGACCTTATTGATGTTTCCTTTCACCACCAGTTTTGATATTTAGATTAGAGGCAGAAGAGAGATAACCCGAGATTAATAATGGATAAAACTTTGGAAAACTTACATCTTACATTCCTTGTGCTGTATAATTGCATAAATCAAACTCAGACTCATTTACTTAGCTTTTTAAATAATGTATTTTTCATTTAGTTTTTATTCTAGAATCTGCTTTTTTAAATCTACTTTCTTAGAATGAAACACAAGACCTTCCTGCAGAATCTCCCATGGAGTCACCAGTGTACACCCATGTGTGCCCTGGTCCCTCAAGAAGGGAGCTAGGAGACCAGTGCTATCCAAGGCACGGAGAGCAGGACATCAGAAATAGCCTCCAGGAAATATTTGACAGGAACTGAAGGTGCACCCACCATTGAACTTCATCTTTTAAAATTTTCGTTTCAATATATCAAATACGTCTCCTTCATCTAAGAAAATGATCTTGACAAAGTAAACGAAGAACCACTGACTCTAATACCATGTGTAGAATACCTTCACTACTCTCCCATAACTAGAAACAGACCCATCCACACATGTGAAATTGATTTTTTACAGTGTAACACAGTAGTTGACTAGAGATGTTTATTTCAAAGAATATTTAAACAAATAACAAGATGAATAATAGCAAGCGTTATAAAGTACGTTGAAGAAATTAACCCGTAGTGCATTGTTGGAGGGAATGTAAATTATTGCAATGAGGGAGTGATTATTCTATAGGACAGCGACTCTGGAATCTCCTGAGCGCGTTTATGACCAATTTGCAGGAAAAATTCGCCGCGTCCATTAAGAAAACCAGGAAGGCTTTGAAAAGCCAGGAGTAAAGCCCTTAAATGCTAATATGGTCAGGCGAGATGAGAGTTACACAGGAGAGCCTAGTCCAGAAGAGAATTGCTTCTCTGGCAGCTCAGCTGTCAGACAATAGAGCAGGAGCCAATCAGCAATGAAGCGGGCGCCTGGATGAGCTACCCAATCAGGTGGGACGAGGGGACGGGCACTTCCTGTGTCATGGCGTACTGTGGGCTTCATCGGTGTTGCAGAGAGTCCCTGCTGACTAGACCGGGTTTTGTGTACTATCGCCTGGCTGCGCGCTGCATTCAAAGGCTCCCGGGAGACCCTAAAGCCACACAATGGTGACGTTGTAGGACGGGAGCCGGGGATGGGACGAAATCGGCTGTGTTCTGGAGGGAAGTGGTCAGAAACGGCTGTGGCAGTGCACAGCCTCCCTGCTCAGCTCCAGACGCCGAGGTCTCCCTGGTCCTTGGTGCTACATCGTCATTCGTAACATTTCCTCCTTTGCTAGGGCAGGGACAATGGTGGGTCCCCAGTGCACAGTGCTAGCTCGCACACTGCCAACCTAGGATGTCTTGGTTGGCCCCTGCGCAGCTGAGTCTGCACCACTCGGCAGGGAGCAAGAGCTTTGGGCAAACCATCACTGTAGTTTTTCACGTGATTCCTCCACTTGCAGTGATGTTACTGAATGAACAAGGTTCTTGGTCTCACAGCATTGAAGAATGAGGTTGCAACCAAAGGAAAAAATGTTAGCAGAGAGTTTATTGGAAGTAGGAATAATACTAGCGCGCTGATTCTGGAAGTGTCCCAAGTGAGAGGCCCCATAGCCCTGCAATCCAGAGCTAATTATGAATGAGCAGAGCCCAGGAAATACTCAGCTGTTTAGTGACCACCTATCACCGAGGGCTCTGTGGATTTAAAACAACTACTTTGAACTCAGGCTCTCTCACCCATTTCCTCAGCATGCACTGTTAAAAAGAAAATGGGATTTTAGAGAAACGTTAGATAACTTGTATTTTCTTTCATTTGACTTTTAATTTTTATTTATTTATTTATCTATTCTTGTGTCTTTTTGAGACAGGGTTTCATTCTGCAGCTTAGGTTGGCTTTAAACATTATTTTGTAGAGCAAAAGAATGTTCCTGTGTTTGCAGGTGTCCAGGCTGACAAGCAGCTGGTGGAGCCTTGGAGTCGCTTGGTGCAGCCTGGGGCATCCCTGAAACTCTCCTGCATGAATTCAGGATTCACTGTCAGAAGCTGTGCCATAAGCTGGATCCAAAGGCCCCAGGGAAGGGCCTAGAGTGGATCTCATACATAAGTACTGGTGGTAGCACATACTATGCAGACTCTGTGAAGGGCGGATTCACCATCTCCAGAGACAACGGCAAGAACACGCTATATCCGTAGATGAGCAGCCTGAAACAGGAGAACACAGCCCTGTTACAGTGTCCATGACACACAGTGAAGGAACATTTGTGTGAGCCCAGAAAAAACCTCCTGGAAGCAGCGCTTATGCCCAGCAGAAGTCGCTGTAAGACGACAGAATCACTTGCGGGCCCCAGAAGCAGGAGCTGAGAAGAAAGCAGAGGAGGGAGATCTTCCTGGGGACTCTAGGGTTCTCTTCTGTTTTAACGTTTTAGGTCCTGAACCAACCCACATTGAAGTACCCAAGTTCAAGGAAAAATTCTCTGTTAAATGTAATTGCATGAGTACATAAGAAACACTGATTATTTCATTTTCTGTGTATAAATTGTACTTACGGGTAAACAAAACTTGCACCCATCTCAAAGTAACTTGTGCATTTTGTGAAGTTAATTTTGTTTTCAGTGTCAAATCCTCACCATCTAAAGGGGGGTCTGCTGGTTTAGTTTGGGTGATGAGGAACTGTCTCACGCAGTAAAAAATGCTTCAGATTAGGAAATTAAATCCTTCTCATCTCCCTCTGTGGGTTCTCAGATCACACAGCTCCCTCCCCTCTTTGGCCACCTCAGGAGACCTGGTCCCCAGGCTCAGCCCCAGCACCATGAGGAACCCTGAGCTCAGGGGAGGAGGGAGAGGGGCAGCCTGACTGGACTCAGGGCAGTGTCTGTGGACCTAGATGTGCTCTTTCTAGACAAGAAGGCTGAGTAGGACTTGGTCCTGTGCCTTTTTTTGCACCTTACAAATTAAAAAATTTATAAAATACAGCAAAACCATCCTCTATCTTAATCTCCATTTCTCTCTCTCTCTTAACTTTTTGGTTTTTTAAATTTTATTTTAAACAAGAAAAATAGAACATTAAAGTGAAACAAAACAAAACAGTGTTAGGACACTGGGGAATTCACTGTTGTTACTGTATTAGATAATCCCATCCTCTAATTAGTTGCTCAGGCTCTCTGACCCAGGCTTGCAAAGTCAATCAAATAATTTAAATGTTGCTGCCTTAATTTAGTTAGTAACATCTTAGCCTGCACTCCGTCCCATTGCTTATGTGTGTGTTACTGCTGGGAGGAGGGGGAGGCTGCACAGCTTCCTTGCTGCCTCTCCCCACCTGACAGGGCCTTGCCAACACATGTGGTGTGGTGACTGCAATGCTTCCTGCTATTTTCCTCATCCAACCACACCACCAACCCGGCTCTCTTATTCTTGCTGGGTTCCTGAATTCTCCCTCTCTGTGGATTTCAACCCACGGGTCCGACCCTTCCCGTGTCTGTGGGCCCCACCTCTGTCATCCTGCTCTTCCCATGTTGCTGTAGCCCAGGGTATGGACAGATGAGAAGCAGAGGTACCAGTACAGTGTAGCAAGAACTCTCATGATGTTTTGCTACCCAGTTCCATAGCACATGCTGCTTCTTCCTCTGCTGCTCACGGCTTCTCCATTCTCCTGTAAGTGTTGTCTCTTTTTTACTCATTTCTCAGTTTTCAGTCTATTGGGAAAACAATGGAAAATAAATGAGGTGAAAATCTCTATTGTCACAATGTGCATGGTTTTTCCTAAATGGATTCCCATGATTCTACCATGATGTATTTTATTTTATTTCAATAATTTCTGTATTTAACAGTCACACATGTATTTGTAAATTTTTCTAAAACAACCAAATATACCTCTATGGTTACTAATATCACACTTATTGTTACAGTTTCCTGTGACCAGTAACATAGTGAACAGCACGAAATCGCTTGCATGCACATCCACGGCTCCTGAAGGCAGAGAAGAGCTGAAATTCTCACACACAGTCCCCATCTCTCAGATGCGACCAAGGACCTCACCCTCACACTCATCCGCAGAGGCTAACACACCTCCAAATCCTGCTCTGCTCTTTACCAGTCCAGCATCCCCACTAATGTGTCCCTTGTCTAAGGACTGAAAATTCATGTACTTGATGTGATGTCTCAAGGGCATCTGTTGTTTTCCCTCAGGGTAGGGACATCTTTGGGAATATGCCCTTCCCTGAGATGGAGTCTGATCCTCTCCATTGGACCTTCTGAATTACAGCTTCCTTCAGATCACTGAAAATCTGAAATATTTTATGAGTTCCCTTCCATTTCATTTGTCTTTGTTGTTCAGAGTTTAATCATGATTGTGTAGATATCATTTTCAAATTGAGACCTTGGAAACACACCTCAAGTAAGAGTTCAGATTTAGCATTAATGTTGTAACTTGTATGTCAAAGAAAAGTAATGAATGAAACCAGGAAGAACATGGCACTTCTGGGTTTTCATCTCACCATGTATCTCAGCTGTGCTTGATTCAGCTATACCGCTGCTCCTCTGTGTCACTGTGTCTCCAAATTCTTGACCTGATAGTTATGAAGAGCCTAGTTTCTTCTCAGATGTGATTCACAAAGTTCACCTCTCACTCTTAGTTTATACTATCATCTCATAATAGAGGAAAAATCCATCCGTGAACCATCCTCACATCCTAAGTGTGAAATCCATCGCCATATTAGTCCCTGGTTATCAACTTTCTCCTCACTGACACCTTCCAGGTGTTTTCTTCTTCCTCTTCATGTGTCAGAATTGGTTAATTGTTGGATCTTCCCACCAGAACTGTAACACGATGTAGATTACAGGCAACACTTGTCAATAACAAAACCCACAAAGGAAACATGCACATTCCTAACTTTAGTGAACAAATCCTCAGAGACTTTCCAAGGACTTAGTAAAGCCAGTGACATCATCCCCACCACAAGAGCTTAGGCATAACTGAACCTTTATTATTCTCTCTGTGGAATACATGTCAGTCTTCCTACAAATCCATCAAAGTCGTGTAATTCAGAACAGAGATCAGAACCGTGGGTGTATGAACTCAGAGCAGGGAGGTAGAGGGATGTGGTATCAAAGATCAGAACCATTGCCCATCCAGAGAGTAACAGATGTGTCTACTCCTGGATGTCAGGGTCAGTGCTCTCTTGCTCAGACTCAGAACAGCTCAAACCCTTGTCCAGAGCCTACCCTGAGGGTCCATATAAAACCTGCAAATCTATTTCTCCTTACTAATGTGGACTCGACTGTTACCTGCATTCAGGCCACATGATTATGACTAGATTTGGGGAGGGGGAGGAAAAAGGTAGAAAAGCACCTTGTATTATCTAACTGACCATGAGGAATGCAATCATTATATCCTGCAAATCTGTACTAATGAATAAATAATAATTGTACACAGTACAATATGCTATATTTCAGTCTCTCTCCAGGAAATGACATGGAGAAATAAGAACTTCAGAAGACATGGATACAGTCCAGTCAATGTATTGAGTGGACAGTGCACTGAAGCCAGGGACACATCCCAGTCACAGGTGTGACACAATAGCCTGGGGGTCTTGTGGATCACAGGTGAGGATTCCAATGGGGCTTTTCCTTTTCCAAAGTTGACAAGTAGTCCTCATGGCAGTGGTGATGATGCTGAACACTGTGCCTCCCTGCTGAAGAGGTCACATCCAGAGTGACCCCTGATTCCAGCCTTTGCCTCTCTTCACATTGGAGATCATAAGATGCAGTCCCCATCCTCAGCATCTCCCAGTGATGGAGCTGGCCTCTGCTCTCCATCGTGATTCACTCAGGAATCCTCAGCCCCACTTTCCTGACTCATAGACACGTTGATAAGGATGTCAACTCAGAGAAGAATTCTTCAAAGAGATTTTAATAATGGAATTCATAGATTTCATTTGTTTGTGGAGATCTTAATGAATCTGTACAGCATGTGCTATGGAACTGGGTAGCAAAACATCATGAGAGTTCTTGCTACACTGTACTGGAAAATATTTCACTGAATGCCCACTGCACCAATAGTGAACAAGAAATGCCCACATCTGGCTGAAAAAGATTGGAAAGAAAGAGGGAAGGTTTAATTTTAGGACATTGTCTTCAGGAGCATAGTGTTCATAATGAATAACTGATCACAAAGGGAGAACTGTAATTAAGTAAGCATTTAGAATTTAGGAATCACCTCCAGGAAACAAAAGGAGGAGAACCTAGTAAGAACATGCCGCCCAGCACCTACACTAGGTCAGTTAAGGAAGGGCCACTTAGTACAGACAACCTCCTTCCTTCCTCCAGTGAGGCTTCTCTATCAGGGAGGCACAGGACCCACATCCTCATCTCCAGGCTCTGCAGGCTCTGGTCAGTGGGACATGGATCACAGCACATCTCAAAGCAGGAGGCAGGAGGACCTCTCCTGACCATGTTAATGGTAGTGAAGCAACATCTACAGCAGCACAGATGGCACCAGAAGGGAGAGATCAGGGAGAGGAGGAGGGGGCTGTGCTTGCTTCATCCTGTGGAAGCAGCACCAGAGCCTGTGTGGGAGTGCAGAGTTAGAACAGGAAGGGAGCAGGACTGGAGGACGCTGGGGTGGGAACAGGAAGGAGGGCTCATGGCCATGCTTCCTCCACTCCAAGGAAGGCAGCTTCCCACCTAACACAGACATGAACACCACTTGAGTGCAGGGGAAGAGATTATTCTCTGCAGGATAAGGACCATAGACATCCTGGGCTGTGTCTCACCATCCTAAAGTAAAGGGGCCACTCTCATGCAAATTTGTCTCCCAAATCTAGACTCAAACTTCCCTCCTGGGCTGAAGGAGCCCATAGCTCCTTCCTCAGATACCCCTAAGATCTCTGGAGAAGGCAAAAGTGTGACCTAGAATATGAAATTTCTGAGTCTTCTCCTGTGCCTGGTGGCAGGCCGCATGGTGACTATCCTCAATGTCAGACATGGGTCCATGGAAAGATTAGGAAAGCAGGTAACTGATAGGAATGTTCCTCATGTTTCCAGGTGTCCTGTCCCAGGTGCAGCCACAGGAGTCAGGACCTGGCCTGGTGAAGCCCTTGCAGACCCTGTCTCTCACCTGCAAGATCTATGGATTCTCCATCACAACCAGTGGTTATGACTGGAGCTGGGTCCATCAGCCTCCAGGAAAGACTCTGGAGTGAATGGGGGCCATAGGTAACTGTGGTGGCACTGGTTACAGTCTATCCCTCAAGAGCCACATCTCTATCATCAGTGAAAGAGTTTTCCCCTAGTACAGATTTCTTTACAGTTATGGCAGTGGTCTAATGTGGCAGAAGGCAAAAGCAGAAATGCCTATCACTTCCTGCTTCTTCTTCTGCCCTAAATGCAGCTCCTCTTCCTGGTTACACACAAGGAGAATTCTAATTGGTTCCTCACACATCATCAATATCTGCCTCATGGGCGACTTCAGTCAGATGTCATGTAACTCTCTGGCTCTCTGGATCTGGTTGAAGGAAACAGCCCAGCCGCCATGGGTCACGTGCTCCTTTCCACATCCTCAACTCAATAAA